GGCGCTGAACCTCTGCAGCCAAAAACTTTCGGGCCTTCCCGAGATGCGTGGCCCATCTGAGGGCCGTGGCCCACGCATTCGCGCCGCTGTCGCGGCAGGGGCGCCGTCTTGGGGGGGCCCAGGCAAGCTTCTTCCACTCAGTGGAAGGGGGGCTCGGAGCTGCCAAAGTGAGCCTCCGCCTTGGGCCCCACGCGGTCCCAGTGAAACTTAGACTCAAAATACATGCCCTTAGAGACGATGTCCCAAAGTCCTACTAAACTCTGCCCATCATTCACTTGCGGGCCAACAACCTCCATGACAGCTTGCCACGGGAACACTGGTGGCCTCGCACACGCTGGGGCTGCCCTTTTTTCACACGGCACCTTCGCCCACATTGTGACTGGGGCGGCGAGGGAAGGCAGGCGCGCTGGAAGATGGGGAGACGTGGCCGCCTCCACGTCCACGTTGACCTCCCTGCCCAGGAACTGAGAGAGCGAGACGCTGGCGACGAAGTAGACGATGCACGTGCCTGGTAGCCTCTGCCTGCAAGTTGTGGTGGTGGGCACGTAGGTCACTGCATTGACGGCGTTGGCCCAGTTGGGTTGGCATAGTACGGCTCTGTCCATGTTCCAGTCCCCACCCACCACCCATGGTACCTGCTCGGAATTCAGAAAGCACAAGTATTGCATGATGGTCCACAGCATATCAGCGCTGCGTGGCCCCAAACCCTCGCCGCCCTTCAGGTGCATAGAAAGCACCACCATGCCACCATGAACACCCCAATTGACGTGGCAAGCAACTGCTCGACCAGGAATGATGGTGTGCGAATCGCCTGGTGGCGCGCAGAAGCCAATATGTGATGGAACCACCACAGCCACACCGCCAGTAATTCCAGCGCCGCCCCCGTCACTGTGGATGGCTGGGGCCCAAAGGCCACGGTAGCCCGCGTCGAGCACTGCGTGCTGCTTGTCTGCAAGCAGCTCGGGAGTAACGCGATGCTCCTGGATGGCGATGACGCATTCCGTGGCACACGCCAGGTAGTCCAGCATGGGCCCATACGGTGTAGTGTTGACCGCGACGAGCGACTGATCTTTTGATAGCTTGGCCCTGACCGACTTGGCGACGCCTTCGGCCGTTGGGGGTGACCTGGTACGAACATGATGGCCTCCGCCCGCTGGCGCCATGCTCTGGGCTTCGGTACATGGCCCCCCTGGTCCCTCCTCAGCTTCAGGCGTGCTCCGCGCGCAGTCAGAAGACAATGCAGTCGCACCCGCCGAAGAGGACGGCCTCGTAGAAGTAGATGGTGGTGAGCACGCGCCCTCCACCGACACCCTGGGGAAGGTCTCAGGCCTCTCAGGGCCCGCGTCAACACCATCCGAAGACTCAGGCTGTCCCATGCCTGTTCGCACCGTGGAATGCACGTGACGTGAGAAGGACCCCGCATCGCCTCGGACTGAGCCACTCGCAATGCCGCGAGACGACACTGTCGGATCGTCCTGGTGCGGGGCGGGGACGGTCGGCACGCCCGCCTCCATCCTCCGCAGAGTGGGCGCGACAGCGTGGGTTCCACCCCGCCGCCCCCCCTGGGAGACGCAGGGGGTGCTCGCCCCCCCCCCCCCTCCCCCACCGTGGCCAGCGGTGGTTTGACTCCTGAGTGGGTCGAGGTGGAGGTGCCTCCGTAGTCTGCGATCCCGTCATGTCGGGCTCGCCGTCCTGGCGCATGTCGGCGTCGCGGATGTCTGCGACGTCTGCCGCCCCCGAGCCCCCCCCCCCCAACTGGCAGAGGAGAGGCGCTGGTCACTCGGGCTGCCTGCTGCGTCACTGGTCGCTCAACCCTCAGCAGGCCCTCGGCAAGGTCCTGCGCCTCGCGGGGCACCAAGCCTTCCACGCCAGGCTGCTCCTGGGCCCGCTGGTTGGGTGCACGCTTCTCCCAAGCCCGCCGGGGCTGGGACCCGCGACCAGGTGCAGGCTGCACCGTTGCGCTGGGGGCGTCTGATCTGCGCCCTCTGAGGTCTGGGTGTCCACCTGTCGTGGGCGCACCCTGGGGGGCCCCCTGACCGTGCCGGGGGCTTCGGCCACCCGCCCGTCGGCGGCGTCGGCGGCGAGCCGGGTGCTGCGGGAGGCTTCGACCACCCGCGCGTCCGCGGCAGCCCGCGCGAACCCTATGGCGCCTCCCCTGCTGTGGTCTGGGTCGGCCCCCGCCCCTAGTCCAGCTGGGAGTGCCTCTCCAACGACGGAGCTGTCCTCAACCTGGCTGTCGTCGGGCTGGGTGAACGGGTCCAGGTCGGGATCGTCCAGGCCCAGGGTGCGCGCCTCGCGCGCAGCCGCTGAGGTAGGCTCGTCGGACTGCTGCTCGCTAGCTGCGGGGGAAGAACCATTCGTAGAAAATGGCATCATCATGGCTGCTGGTAGACATAGGTACACAGTGGCATACAAGACAATGAGACTTGAACTAGGCCGCCTCCTTGAGCTTTTTGTATACCGTGTAGAAGGAAGTGAGCTGCCTCTTGAGTTGCCCCCGCAGTGGCGCTGGGTCGTCGCCCCCCTCCGTGGGCACAGGGACTTCAACGCCGCAGCTCTTGAGGTGCTGGCGACGCGTCTCACCGTCGAGGTCGTCCACGTCGTCCGCTGCAGAATCGTCCACCCCCCATGTCAGGCTCAGGCGTGCCAGGCATTCCGCCAGGCGCCGCCTCGGGGCCCTGCTCCTCAGGCGCCGCCTGGGCCTGCGCCGCGGCCGCCACATCCTTGACCCTGCCGACGCAAGCTGCCATAGTGGTCAGGTCAGCAGCAAACTTCTCGCCGCCGCCGAGAGCCTGGACGATGGCCCCCAGCTGGTCCACTGTTGTGCTCAGCCCTGAGATGACGTCGGCGAGCTTGGGCGAGCCGTTGGAGCTGCGTGCCCTGGGCCACGACACCTCGCAGCCTGGTCTCCAGCTCCAGGATGGCAGTTGCGGACTCCGTCTCGTCTTCGCGGGCCTGCTCTAGAGCCTGCTGCGCCTTCTGGACTGCAAGCCCCGCTGCCTCACGCTTGGCCTGGCAAGCGGCCTGCTTCCTGCGGGCATCCTGGAGCTTGTTGGACAAAACGTTGGCATTCTTCTCGGGAGGCTTTGCGGCTTCGAAGCGGGCCTGCAGCTCGTCCCGCTCCTTGACGCATTGGGCACGGACTTGTCGGTCTGTCTCGGCGTCACCCAACAGACTCGACTTGAGAGAGGCATTGATGTCATCAAGCCGCTTGCGTTCATCGGTAGGAGGCTTCCCCCAAAGGGGGGGTGGGCGCGGACTGCCCTGCGGCGGGCCCGCGTGCTCCTCCTCCAGCCGAAATGGCGGTCCCCTTGACCAGCTCGTCCGCTCGCTTTTGCATGTCGGCCAGCTGCTTTGTGAGGGCGATCTCACGGGCACTTGCAGCTGCGGGCGAGCGAGCGGCTGGCGGGCCCTTGGCAGGAGGGTGCCCCTTGAAAGCCGACCCTTTGGGAATCCCGCGTTGCGCACACCACATGTGGTCCGCGCGGTTGATCCACGGGGTGCCCGACGGCTTGTGCTCACACCACTTGCAATACCAAGGTTGTGCGTTTGCCCTCCGCTGCTGTCGCCCGCCAGCCATGGCGCCGCTGCGAGCGACCAGAAGAAGAGAGCAGCCCTGTGGCGGGTGATGGCTGCACACTGCCGCCGACCGCGAGGCCACGGCAGCAAAGCCCGCGACGCAAGGGCAGGCTGACGCGGGCGGGCGTGGAAAGGGTGAGCTCGGAGAGCTGGGATGCACGGGGGCCTTGAGCCGCCCCGTCGGCTACGTTCAATCTCCAAGCGCAAAAGCGGACGTTTGGAACTTGAGCCAAAATGGTTACGGAGGAGGCAGGAGGACGAGGAGGAGGAGGAGGGAGGAGGAGGAGGAGGAGGAGGAGGAGGGGAGGAGGAGGTGGAGGAGGAGGAGCAGGAGGAGGAGGAGGAGGAGGAGCAGAGGAAGAGGAGGAGGCAGGAGGAGGAGGAGGAGGAGGAAGAGGCAGGGCCCCCCCACCCCGCCCCAGCCCCGACGTCCATGCTTCCCCATATTATTCTTCCAGGATTCCCTACATTCCTGCATATTTTCTGGAATCTCGTCTTCCCCCCCCCTGTCCATGTTTCCCCGTAGTATCCTTCCTGGCAACTGCACCGGGGGGCCGGCGCAGGCGGTGGCGAATTTGCCCCATGGGCTCGAGGTATAAACAGCGTGTTTCGTGTTCATTATGCTTCCGTGTTCCTTCGTTCTGTCATCGTTCTGCCCTGGCTGCGAAACGAAGTCGGAACGAAAACGGCCCCCAGCATCGCCCAAACACCGTTTAGCTCGAGCCCTGATTGGTCCCACCAGTCGATGCTCCTCAGCACGTGTGGTGGCGCAAGCGTGCGTTGTCCACCGAATCCCTCCAAAGCCACGCAGGTGGCGTAGCCAGGGCTGCGTGCTATCGAAGGCGCTGAACGCGGTGAGCACACATCGTCGTGATTCCGCAAAGGGGAGGTGTGCCTCGGGGTGTGTGTGAGTTCGATCGGTTCTTGCACCGAACCGCCCCAAACAGATGCCCCCAGCCGCCGGCACCTCCAGATAGTTGCCGATACGTGGGGCATGCGGGGGGCATCTGTTTGCGGCAGGTCGGTGCACCAACGGATCAAACTCATGCCTCCCCTCGGGGTCACCCCCCCTGGTGGATCCCGACATTGGGAAAACACACGTCCTGAGGATCATCCCACCAGGCCCCTGGGCAAACTCCTCTCCCGAGAGGCCCGGGCAGTGCCCTCGCGGCCGCGCGCTGCGGACCGGTGCGCTGGGCTTTTCAAGGAAGAAGGGGGAGGAAGGATAGGGGGCCACATGCGAACCCTACTCCTACCCCCACGATTTCTGCGGGGGAGGGTGGGGTTCACTTCGCTTGGGAGCTCCCGAACGAAGGGAACCCCACCCTCCCCCTCAGAAATCGTTGGGGAGTGTGGGGAAGGGTTCGCATGTGGCCCACCCCAAAGGAGGGGAGGATAGGGGGAGGAATGTAAGGTCATTTCGGGGGTTTCAGCTCCGCACGGGATCATCACAGGAAACCCGGAGACGAGGAGGAAGACGGTAGGAGCCGAAGCCAACCCGATCAACCCGATCAGGAAGAGAACCGCGCCATGCGCTGCTGCAGGCGCAACGCGGCCTCGTACGCATCGGACCGCCCCGCCCTGGATGGCGAACCAGCACATGCGCGCACAGGCGCGGCAATCAGCGACAGGAGACCATTCCTCATACGTATGTTTTCCGCTAGCGTCGGCACCAAATGGACCAGGATGCTCGGTCGGCACGGCACCAGGAGCATCGCGAGGAGTTCCAGCTGGAGCCTGCACCTCAACGATGCCATGCTTTTCAACACAAGGCACGTGATGAGGAGCATGAGCATGACCGTCGAGAGCAATGAGAAGACCATCCACCCGGCCACTGGAAGTGTGAATGCCGGTGCGTCAACGTTCAGGCCACCGAGTCCTGCAGCCTTGAGACCATCAGGCTGCTGAGGCGCAACCGCCTGCTTTAACGCGTTACCCGGGGCCGCCGCCTCGATGACCTCGGGAAGGCGTACGCCAGGGTGTGCGGACAAGTTGTGCATCTTGCTGACCTCCTGCAAGCGCTTTGCCAGTGCGGGCCAATCTGCCCGGCGGAGACCTGCGACGGCAACCGGCACAGTAGAGGCCTCAGTAAAGCACAAGTACTTCTCCTGCAGCTACGTGATGATGAGGAAAATGATGGTGATGATGATGATGATGATGACGATGATGGTGATGCTGACGATGATGATGATCATGGCTTAGTGGGCCCTGGAAACGACAAAACCGTTTTTACCAGTTCCGTTTTGCCGTTTTTTGCCGGTTCAGACGCCGTTTTTTTACCGGTTCCGTCGCCGTTCTTTTACGGGTCCCCGCTCCGGCTCAAATCCTGGAGCCGTTTTTGTTGCCGTTTCTGGCTGCCTTTTTGTTGCCGTGTCCATTTTCATGGGACACTTTTTCGGAAACGGTGAAAAAAATGCCCTGCCGTTTCCGGGCCCACTAAGGACCATGGTGATGCTGATGATGGCGATGGTGATGGTGATGATGATGGTGATGATGATGATAGTGGTGGCGACGATGATGATGATGATGATGATGATGATGATGATGATGATGATGATGATGATGATGATGATGATGATGATTGATGATTGCCCTTGTCATGAGGAGGCTCATGGGCACCGACAGCGAGGGCACCAGCACACCCTGAGGTGCACCACGAGCACCAGGCTGCTGCCGCGCGTGCAGCCCGCGGCTCGCCCCCGAAAGCCCTGCCCCGCCGGCCGCCGGGAGAGCACCAGGCCGCAGCCGCTGCCGCGGGGACCTGCGAACAGGTGGGCGAGCCGAAAGCGGCCAATTCGCCAATCGACGTGTCGGGGGGTAGGAAGTTTATCGGCCTCCGAAAACACGGGTCCTGCGCGGGACGGCGCGGCGACCTCACGCCGCAGCTTACGCGGGGCGCCAGCGCGGCACGCTGGGCTGGAGACGAGGGCGCTCGCGCGCAACCTTGCGCGGGCCTGGCCAGGCAGGCACAATGCACAGGAGGCCGGTCCACTGGAGGACGAGGAGGAGGAGGAGGAGGAGGAGGAGGAGGAGGAGGAGGAGGAGGAGGAGGAGGATTTTTCTAAACATCTACAAAGCAGCCACGATACAACTGAGGGCTGGCGAAACCCTCAGAGGACGCTCATTGGCGTAAAAACGCCACCCTGGGCTCCGTTGCGCCCAGGAAGGCTGCCTCCTCCGCGCTGAGCGGAGGGGGGAGGGAAACCTCCCGCTGGCTTCGCCTGCGCAGCTGTCGCAAGTGGCCTCCGAGGGCCCCTGGCCGTGCTCCAGGTGAGCCGCCCCCAACACGGGGAAAAGGATGGGGAGAGGCCAGAGCGACCACCTCCACCTTCGGGAAACGCGGGGAGCCATCACGCGTGCAACGCACCTTCCCCCACAATTGGGGTGCCTGACACACGTGCAAGCAGCCTACGCGCAGCACACACACGAGTAAGCCCACGAACAAGCGAACGAACGCCAGGACAATGGCAGACATCGAAACTGAGCAGAGCAACGGTCAAGGCGACGAGCCTCCGTGCCAAGCCCACGTCTAGCCCACAACGCTCCAGCGACTGTGCCATGCGCCTTCCCCCTGAGGCGGGGTGCCTGACACGCGTGCAGAACGGAAACGCGCGCGCACACAAGCCGAACGCACGCAGTGCACCACTGGCCTGTAGCCAGAGAAACGAAACTCGAGACAGACAGACAGATAATTCGACCACTCACACAAGGACGACGAGGACAGCCGCCCCAGGTGCAAAGAACGCCAAGACGACGGCGAGCCTCGCCCCAGATGTGGGGTATGCACACTGAAAACTGCCCTGGGGTCTGTCCCATCGGGCCTTATGCTAAAACGAAAGGGCGACGCCAGGACGACAGCCAGGAAACCCCAGGTGCACCTAACCCTAAGGGCGGACGCCTGGACGGCCCCTGGCCTGGACTGCCCCAGGTGTGGGCCCAACTCGCACTCTGAGCCAGTGCCCCCATGGCGGGCCCTCCAGACACGGCCAGAGACCAACTTGGCAGAGCGATCAAGGACCCGCCGCCTTCCGCTCCAACGAAAGGGACACAGACTAGCAGGGCGGCGAGCTAAGAAGGAGAGGCCGCGGTCGGGTCGCCATGACCCCCGCCCTCGCCCCAGAAGGGGTATTGCACGGGTGCCTGCCAGAAGGGCAGTCGCATCGGGCCGTGCGCCAGAGGAAACACTAGAAACAAGGGCAACCGCAGGCCAGCCGCCAGAGACAGAAATGAACGAGCGGTGGGTCAATCCGAACTGTCTGACTCCTCCTGGCGGTGGAGTTCCTGCTGACCTCGCCCACACGGGGCCGAGCCCGTGGCCCTGCTGCTGGCTCCCGCGGCGGCGCTTTCCAAGCGCCGACCCGTCGCCGCTTGTCGGAGCACCTGGGGACCGATATCATCCACATCGTCATCGAGGGAGGGAGGCACGAACGAGGAGTGGGGAACATGGTCGGCAGGCAGCACCTCAGGCCTGCCTATCAAGAATGACTTGCGAGGGTGCCGTCCTTGGATAATCTTATGGATCTCTGCAGGAATAAGCTCGGCACGAGTTTCCTGGAAGGGGAGGAGGAGGAGGAGGCGGAGGAAGGAGGAGGAGGAGGAGGAGGAGGAGGAGGAGGAGGAGGAGGAGGAGGAGGAGGAGGAGGAGGAGGAGGAGGAGGAGGAGGAGGAGGAGGAGGAGGAGGAGGAGGAGGAGGAGGAGGAGGAGGAGGAGGAGGAGGAGGAGGTGGGGAGGAGGAGGAGGAGGAGAGGAGGAGGAGGAGGAGGAGGAGGAGGAGGAGGAGGAGGAGGAGGAGGAGGAGCTGGCGCGCGAATTCTTGGCGAAGACGGCCCCCGGTTTCTGGCGTCGCCTAGGCGGGCCTGCCGCGCGCCGCCCGGGGCCGCCGCTGGATATCGTGCCGGAGGGCCCGAGCCAGGAAGGCCTGAGCCAGGGTGGGCGCGGCGGAAGGGGGGGGGAGGGAGGGAGGGGGGGGGGGGGGAGGAGGAGGGGAGGAGGAGAGGAGGAGGAGGAGGAGGAGGAGGAGGAGGAGGAGGAGGAGGGAGGAGAGGGAGGAGGAGGAGGAGGAGGAGGAGGAGGAGGAGGGGGAGGAGGAGGAGAAGGAGGAGGAGGAGGAGGAGGAGGAGGAGGAGGGGGAGGAAAAGGGGAAGGGGGAGGAGGGAGGGGGAGGGGGAGGAGGGAGGAGGGAGGAGGGAGGAGGGGGGAGGAGGGGGAGGGGGAGGGGGGAGGAGGAGACTCTGGCGACCTGCGCCACGACTCACTGTCGCAACAGTGGCTGAGCAGAACCATTGTAGTTATGCATTGCCCTAGCGTTCACTAGGCCGCAAGCAGACACATCCACAAGCAACAATGGGACATGATAACATCGTATGGCACATCGTTCCCGCACCTGCAAGGAGAAGACGTGCAGGAGCAGTATGGATGCGCAAACTCCGGCGACATATACTACGGCTTGATGACACACCAACTGGCTGAGCCGACCGATTGTGGTTGAGCATTGTCCTCAAGTTAACTAGGCGGCCCGCCGACACATCAACAGGCAGCAATGGAACAAGAGGACATCGTGTGGCACATCTTTCCCGCACCTGCAAAAAGAAGACTCTGCAGGAGCAGTATGGATGCGCAAACTCCAGCGGCATGTGCTACGCCTCGAGGGTAAAAAAAGTGGCTGAACAAAACAGTTGTAGTGATGCAGTGTCCTAACGTTAACTAGGCGGCCCGCCGACACATCAACAGGCAGAAATGGGACAATAGATAGGAAATCTCATGGCGCATCTTCCCCGCACCTGCAAGAGAAAACTCTGCAGAGGAAATATGGATGCGCAAACTCCGGCGACATGTGCTACGGCTCGATGAAAAAAATGGCTGAGCAGAACAATTGTATTTACGCACTGTCCTCACGTTAACTAGGCGGCCTTCCGACAAATCAACGGGCAGCAATGGGACAGTAGGACATCGAGTGGCGCATCTTTCCCGCCCCTGCAAAGAGAAAGCTCTGCAGAGGCAGTATGGATGCGCAAACTCCGGCGACATGTGCTACGGCTGGATGACAAAAAAGTGGCTGAACAGAACAGCTGCATGTATGCATTGTCCTCAAGTTAACTAGGCGGCCCGCCGACACATCAACAGGCAGCAATGGGACAAGAGGACATCGTGTGGCGCATCTTTCCCGCACCTGCAAAGAAAAGACTTTGCAGGAGCAGTATGGATGCGCAAACTCCGGCGGCATGTGCTACGCCTCGAGGACAAAAAAATGGCTGAGCAGAGCAATTGTACTTACGCATTCCCCTCACGTTAACTAGGCGGCCCGCCGACACATCAACAGGCAGCAGTGGGACAAGAGGACATCTTATGGCGCATCTTTCCCGCACCTGCACAGAGAAAGCTCTGCAGGAGCAGTATGGATGCGCAAACTCTGGCGACATGTGCTACGGCTCGATGGCAAAACGTGGCTGAGCACTTGTATAGTTGTGCACTGTCCTCACGTTAACTAGGCGGCCCGCCGACACATCAACAGGCAGCAATGGGACAAGAGGACATCGTGTGGCGCATCTTTCCCGCACCTGCACAGAGAAGACTCTGCAGGAGCAGTATGGATGCGCAAACACTCCGGCGACATGTGCTACGGCTCGATGAAAAAAGTGGCTGGACAAAACAGTTGCAGGTGTGCAGCGTCCTCATGTTAACTAGGCGGCCCGCCGACACATCAACAGGCAGCAATGGGACAAGAGGACAACGTGTGGCGCATCTATCCCGCACCTGCACAGAGAAGACTCTGCAAGAGCAATATGGATGCGCAAACTCTGGCGACATGTGCTACGGCACAATGAACAAAGTGGCTGAGCACAACACTTGTATAGTTGTGCAGTGTCCTAACGTTAACTAGGCGGCCCGCCGACACATCAACAGGCAGCAATGGGACAAGAGGACATCGTGTGGCGCATCTTTCCCGCACCTGCAAAAAGAAGACCCTGCAGGAGCAGTATGGATGCGCAAACTCCGGCGACATGTGCTACGGCTGGATGACAAACAAGTGGCTGAACAGAACAGCTGTATGTATGCATTGTCCTCACGTTAACTAGGCGGCCCGCCGACACATCAACAGGCAGCAATGGGACAAGAGGACATCGTGTGGCGCATCTT